CCTTCAACTTGAGACATTCCAGATGTCCCCACTTTGCACTGGCTGCCTTTCACCTTCGTGGCCAAAGCAAACAGCTTACGTGCAAAGAATGCCCTTTTCTCTACTATAAAACACATCCCTAAAGAGATCCTAGACTGTTAATTATCTACTACTATAATTTCATGGAATTTTATGTTATTATGAATTTGTGGACCCAATCGTGCAAGCCTGATGCACAAACTGTCACTGATGCCCATCAGAGATAAACCTGGCAAAGATGACTCCTTGCAGAGGGCCGACCGTCAAGTCTTCGGAATGGTTTTGTAAAATTGTGCCTTTTCATTAAACCTCAACCTGTCCTAATTTTGAAAGCACAAGTCCAGAACTGCGGCCCAGCTGCAGGGAGGTGTCTCTGTGCGTGCTGAGGTCCCCCCAGGTGTTTCCACGTGTGCTGAGGTCCCCCCAGGTGTTTCCACGTGTGCTGAGGTCCCCCCAGGTGTTTCCACGTGTGCTGAGGTCCCCCCAGGTGTTTCCACGTGTGCTGAGGTCTGCCACTGGTCCGTAACATGCTCACACAGTCTTTCCAAAGAACTCACTCCTCTCATTACAGAAAACACAACATGGAAACAAAGATCCTGCTCTGCTTTAGTAAAACCTCATGAGTGCAAGAAGGCTCTTTAGACCACACATTGTCCTTGCAAGGTACAGTCCTTCAGCTCACTGCCAATACCCATCATTAGCAGTCTACTCCACTTAAACCCACATGCCTACTGGTAAAAATACAATTTCAGGAAGTTCTTTAAAGCGTTCAGGTGCCATGAATTTAACCTGCTCCCTTAATTTGGCAACTTCATCTAAATGACGGTTCAAGCTCTCAAACCACCCTCTGAAACCAACATGTGACATTTTGGGTAACATGTCCTACTCTTTACCATAAAGAAACAAGAATAAACATTTCAATTCTATAGAACAAGTCACCAGCTTACCTACTTCTGCAAAGGACATAAGCCAAATTTACTAGTGAAAAAGAGATCCAAAGATAAGAGGACAGAGCTTGTTTGTAGATGCTAGACACTACATTCTGCCTACACAGCTCTCATACATGCAACGGTTAAATCCTGAAAAGGATCCAGTTACAGGCACAAAGGCTGCAACTGCAGTGACTAATGATGCCATTGTGCAACCCTTCAGGAGAATTTGGAAAGCAACTGCAGACAACCTTTTGCATTTACAGTATATGAGCCTAGGGAGGGCAAGGAAAAGGAGAGGGAAGAAAAAAAAAAGAAAGAAACTTGCTGGGTGTTTTTTGCTGGAAAACCCTGAAAAACAAGTTTGGTGACACCCACTGCAGCATGACCTCAATCCAACGCACAAAGTTAACCAGCCTAACAAAATTCCCCAGTAAAAGCCATGCTACAGTTGTTCAGGAAAAATCAAAGGTTGGGTCACATTCTAGTTTGAGGTGAGTGGTTTGGGGACAGACGGACACCTGGGTCGGCACTGGCCATTCCCTGCACTCCCACCACCACCAGGCTGGAACCATCGCCCTGCCCAGCACATCCTGGGGGCTGACGTGGTCATTAAAAATAAACTAATGAGTAAATGAGTTCACTGACCCTATGGAGGCACAGAAAGAGTCCACCTCTGCGTCCCCCTCTCCTTTCAGCGAGCCTTTACACGTCACCCCTGCTTTGGGCCGTATCACTGCCATCGTGACACGCTGAGTGCTCAAATCCCTTTTGTGTTAAAAATAGAAGACCTGACTCTGGAGTTTCGGGGATAGAAACGCTTACTCGAAGAACAGTCCCCCTGTCCCAAAGGCACCTGCACTAGCAGCTCAGGTAGCAGCATCCAGAACTGCCAAGCAGGCAGCTACAAATCCGAAATGAGGGACACGAGGCACCGCTGCAGCACCGCGTTCTCCTTCGGTATGGCAGGAACGGGCCGTACTAAACACCCTGTGGGAACCCCCGTCGTGATCAGCCCTCACGCACATTTAACACGACTGCATCCCAAGCTGATCAATTTTCAGCTTTTATCTGGAGTGTGTACATGGGAGAAAGGCCCTCCCCCAAAAGAAGCTAAGAAAGGGGTAATTGGGGTATTTCCTGCAGGTCATTCCTTCTTATCTCACCGCCGGGGCCTCGACAACCCTGATTCCCACACTCCAAGCCCACCGCCCCCATCGCACCCGACTGCTACCAGCACTCACTGTGTGGAATTAAATCCCTTGAGTTCTCATCTGCTATAAATGATAAAGTGCTAAAACCTGTGGGAATGAGCGCAGCAAAGGTCGCTTGAATGCAACGCGGTTTAATTGTACAAAGATGTGAATGCACTAATAAGATAATAGTATGTTTTGGTTCTGCTAGCAAGGCAGTAATTTCTCACTCTGGGCACAGAGTCAAACAGCTCAAACTGTCACCAGCACCTGCCCGGTCCCCCCACCTACACCACAAACAGGTGACGCTCAAAAACCACCCCTTGACTTGAGCTCTGCAGCTTTCGGCAGAACCAGTTTCAAGCAAAGCTAAACGGGCCATTAAATGGCCACACTGCAAAGAAGTTCTTTGTTTGGGACAATATACAATTAAGGCACTTTTGCCATCCCCAAGCCAGCCATTTCAGAGGTATGTTAAAACTCAGTACTCCATCGCAGCTAGGTTCAAAAGCACAAGGGGAACACTGTTGTTTAGTCGTTCTCAGATATAACCTGTGGGAAGCTGATCATGTTACAAGAAGAAATAAAAAATAATAATAAAAAATAACTAATAAAAATAATCACAGGGGCCAAATCCTTCTCCAGCTACTGCTAGAGAAAACACCTTGCTTCAAGCCCACCAGGAATGAGGGACTCAAGGAGGGATAAGAAGCAAAAACTCAGCCCCCCGCAGGCTTTAAGGAGGTTTTTGAATCAGCTTTGCGGACCTCCTAGACCCACAGGTACCATCTATGACCAAAAACACTCGGTGCAGTGAAGAAAAACACTCTGTGTGTTGTTACAGTTTGCAGGGCTGGGGCCTTCCAGACAACAGTCCATTGACTGCAAGCAACCCAACAAAAAGCCACTGCTCAGAAAGGAAAACCAGAGGACATCTTCAGACACAAAAACACAAGCTACACATGCTGGGAAACAGCCACGTAACACAAATTCTTGCCACACAACGTGGCCCCAGGTCTGCCCCGCGCTGCCCTCTCCAAAGCAGCCCGGCAGCCAGGCTGCACCTGCACCGAACAGCATAGGAAGCGGATCAGGAACTGCTGCTCACTTCCCTTTGCTACATATAAAAGAACTCTTGAGCCTTTATGCAAACAGAAAGGCTATCAAGGAGCAGCAGGTTATTAATGGCAAACCTGGACGCTTTCAAAAAAGTAAGAGCCAAAAAAGTGGCCCCCCCAGCCACACCACCAGGCCAGCATCTCAGCTCCACTTGGTAATACCAGCAAGGATCTCCCTAGCATTGAAAAAAGAGAGAGGAGCCCAAAAAAAAAAAAAAACAACTCTCTGCTCCAGGAATGACTTGTCAAACATTAAATTCACATATAGCAAATGAGAGGTCGGGAACCACATCACCCAAAGGATGACATGAGGCTTTCTGCTCCATTCCAGGGTCACGAGCCGACAAAGTTTGGTACTTTGCCCAAATACACTCACTCCTGGTTGTCCTCCCTGAAGATCACCCTGCTGTAAAGGTCACACAGCAAAAATGCTGTCTGTTTATTTTGTACACTGCTGATGGCACCTGGGGAAAATGCGTCAAGCCAGTCCCTCCCAGAGCATTAGGGAAAACCGGTTGCAACACAAAAGCCTTCCTCAGCTTGGAGCAGTGTTTACAAACGTGCTGAGTGCCAGAGTGTGTCCTAGCATGCCAGCCTGGAAATAAGTCAAGCACCTGGCCCTCCACACACAAGGTTGACTCACCTGCGCGGCATCTATTATCCACTGAAAAGACCCCGAGGGGAGCACCCCAGGGACACAACGTCCTCGCGGGAGGCTAACGGGAGCACGACTTTTCCTTGTCTTTCCCTCCACCTGCACACACCAGGGACTGCAAAGCTGCAGGATGGCTCCCGAGCGGGGCCAGGGCACTGGAGATGACTCACACACGTGCAATCACTCTTCGGTACTGCAAAAATGTCCCCTGCCACCAGCCCGCTCTTCTAGGGGAAAGAAGATGCAGAGATTTAGAGATAGAAACATGATCACCAGTTGCTTAAACCTAAGCTGCAGGATGCTGTAGCACCAATGTCACTCCATGCCCCATCCTGAAATTCCACTGAAAAGAAAAAAAAAAAAGTTTGAATGACAGAATATGGGACATCGTATTTTAACTGCATCCCACTGAAATTCCACTGAAAAGAAAAAAAAAGTTTGAATGACAGAACATGGGACATCGTATTTTAACTGCATCACGAGGAAACTGTACCTTCTCTTTTAACCTGTATAACCTCATCTCCCTTGCATCTGAAAGCAGGTTAAAAATAAATAAGGATTAGTGATGACAATTATGTTGCATCAGATAAACTAATTTCATGACCATTCCTACCACAATTGCAATGGATTTTGCTTTGTGTTATTGTCCCCCAATCATTTATGTATAGAAGGAAAGGAAAGCAAGGCAAGTGAAAGCCAGCGCTCAGAGTGCATCCTGCACACTGCTCATCCCGAGCACCACCTTGTGCAAGCACTTCCCTCACACCGGGGAGAACACTAGAAGGCTGGTCTAAACCCAACCCCTCCCCATCTCCTAGGAAAAGATCCGAGTGAAGAGACCTGAAAACTCCCTCCTCTTTTCAAGGAGAAAGTTGCATCCTTCCTAACATTGCTCTTTCCAGAGCACAGCACTTCCAGGAACTCGCAAGTGATCCTTTTATTCTCAGAAACAAACGCGCATAATAAGAAGAGACAACCTGTTTAAGCCAAAGGCAAATCTGAGCTATACGGTGTCTGAGCAGGAGCAGAACGGAGCCGCTGCCTGTTGAGGCTGCCGGCTGTAGCAAACACGTTAACCCCACAGTACCTGCCGGGGACGTCGCGTGGGATCATCCGGGGTGCCTGGATCCCGTTGGCTCGAGCTACCATGAAGCCTCGACTGGAAGTCACCCCAGTCAGCGCCGCTTATCCCCATCTCCATGGGCAGCGGCTGCCCGTCGGCTGCGCCTCTTGCCCTTCATCTACATATGATGACGTCCCGTAAATAAGCAGTTTATCAAATAAAGATGAAAATATTTTCTGCATGTATTAGGAAGGAAAGCCTGCAAGATGAAGTGTAACAGCCTGAGCTGTTCATTGCATGCTACCACATACACCAAGGAGCCAAGCTTAGGCCAAACAAGGAATCTTATCTGAGAAAGGAATCTAATTTTTGACATTTTCTAACCTCCGAGTGCTAAACCCCAAAACAAAGCCTGGAATGCAGTTTTTACGTGTCCTTTGTACATACCCCGAGACACGCTAGGTAAAACTACTCAAATTATCCTTAAAGTAACTGAAAGAATTTCTGCTGCACTAGAGAAAGGCAACTAACCACAGCTTTACTAAAGAAGTCCCCCCAGATTTAGTTAAAAGATATCCCTCACCGTGAAACGAGGTCGGACTGGCCCATATTTATTATGAGCCCTATTAAAAGCTGCGTTTCCCAAAGAGGTCATGCTTAAGACAGGCAACTAAAATATCCCGATGTCACCTAGCAGAAGATGGACGTTGGTCATGCAAGACTTTTGAACCAGTAATATCAAAAAGAAGAAGAAAAAAAAAATTAAAAAAGCCAAACACGTAACCCACACACATTCCCATCCCAACCATGTCCAGTTTCTGCTGTAAATAGCCCAAGCCAAATAAAAAAAGTCATTGCATTAGGACAAACTCCGAATCAACTGCTATCAACTTATCTTAAATAAACTGTTTGCCTGCATTAAGTAAACTATTTGACAGAGAAATTACTATCAGAAAAAAATACTGATGTATATTTTAAGTGAAAAGAAATACGATGGTTTTGATCCTAAAAATACTGTCATATGAGAAGTCCCTTTGTTTCTCTGGTCCACTTCCCCACTGAGGTTACTCCGGCATCTGAAGAATTAAGATCTAGATCTTTCAAAGAACAGTCTTGCCCACCAAGTCTTTTTTCATCTGTTCCACCATTCCATTGCTTGGTATCATCTCAAATGCCTGGGGATTTTATTTAGGAATTCTTCTTTTTTTTTCTTTTTAATTTTTAATTAGACTTCATAAATTCATTAAATATAAAAATCAGTATCCAGGAGAAATGTCCATCACTGCCATAAATCTGCCACTGACTGGCAGCTCCAAGGAACGCCTAGAGCAGATTAGTTTCAGCAAGTAAAATCGCTTTTCTGCCTCAGGAGACACCAGATCCCTTCCCAGTAAGGACAAAGAGTCCCCAAAAGCCTTAAAAAAAACTGCTAGGGAAGAACTCCCGTGGCTCAGAAGGTGACAAAAAGCAGCGCCCCAAAGCACGTGCTCTCCGGAGCTGCAGGGACAGGCAGAGCTGGGGAGGGGGATCACAGCACTGCTGCTGCTCCAGCTCCCCTGGGCAAACCCCGGCAGGACAGAGCAGCCCGAGGACATGAAAACCAGACAAGTTGTGGCCCATCCAGGCTAGCTCCAAGCAGCCCCCGCGAGCCCGGCTAGCAGAGGGCCCAGCAGGCCGGAGCTGCGGGCAACCGGCTCCAGCACCGCTCCTCCCCAGGGAAGCCAGCCCCAGAACGTCCTGGCTCTGCTCTCTTGGGAAACTAGGGAGCACAAGGGGGTTTAAATCCTGCCACAGGCTGGAGAAAATTCTGAGGTTGCTCCACATACCCGGAACAGTGAGAATATCCACACAATGCACTTGGCAAAGGGGTGACCTGTCCCACTTGTGGGGCAGCCTAAACTCACCTGCAAGGTGGTATAAGTAGATGTGGGAAAACATCCCGGCGAGGCCTGCTGGTCTAACACACGCCACGAATTAATACAAGGAAAATAAGAGCAATCAAAAGCAGCTCGGGCACACCTGCCATGCAAGTATAGATGCCCCTTGGTCGTAAATGCATTCAGATTAAAAGTAAACCCACAACATCCTCACAGATTAAACACAAAATTGCACACTGCTAAGGAAGCGGGTGGAGGGAACATCATCCCACTCAGTGCCTTTTGCACCGGTACAAAGATGATGCTAAGTGTAGCAGAGAAGGCTTCTGGTTATTAAATTCTTGTTTCTATACTCAATGACACCACGTTATATACGGCTTCTTCTTGCAATTAGCCTTCAAAACACAAATTAAATATTAATGGACAAATGCCAATTATGATTATGAGAGACGATAAGAGGACCATAAATTAAGTAATGTAGATAGAACAATAAAGTGCTTTCACATGACTAAAACACTGTTTTGGTGTTAAGGCTTTCCCATTTTTACTGAAAATGTAATTATGTACTCACAGGTGCTATTGTTGCATAAAATTTGGTAAGTCCAACATGGTGATTCACTCACAACAGAGAGCAAAGCAAGCGGTGTTGCTTCCTCCAGCCAAGACTAGCAGTGCAACACGACTTGATGCTTCACAGAAATCTTCAGCTTGAGACTGTCCAGAGCACAGTAGGGTATTTTCACAGTTATTCCTAGACTATTTCCATCTTCTGTAATTAATTATATACAATTTTATATTCTTCTCGGCGTTACCAGCTCTCTCACACACAAACAACGTATTTTCCCACTATTGTACTTTTTAGCAAAGGAACAAACCTTAGGCTTGCTGAGAAAAAAACAAACCGTAAAACAGAAAGACTCATATACATCGCTCCCATTGCTTTAAGGTCATTGCTTCTGCTTCCTGAGGCTGCTTTAAAAAAAAAAAAAAAAAAAAAAGTCCAAGAGTGTATAAAATTCAGTCACAAAATGTTTTAAATAGCAGCTGTTTGATGCTCTGACATCAACTCTTGCAGTGATTTACCACAGTGGTCACCCATGACTGCTTTAAGAATGGTAGGTGACGTGGGACATGCTGTTCAGAAACAAATCGGATTTATGGTTATACTCAGTTGTTCCTGTTACCTGAAATTAGAATTAGAAGCTCATTAAATATGAATACGTTTCAGAGAATGTAGAGGCCCAGCATTATATCGATGAAAGCTTCATTAAATTTTCAATGATATAGCTGCTTCTATATTTGTGAAGGAAGGACGTGGGGCAAGAAGAAACAAACAGGCTGGATCAACTCTCCTTCAGGCAACTTTGCATTTTCTGACTTACCTGTAAAACTGCTATGGATTTTAAAATAAAACACTTGCTTAATTATGAGTTCAAAAGGAGTGATTGTGGTCCATTCTATTTAGTGAATGACTGCTTTCAGATAAGCACTTGCCTTGCATACATTTGCCAATTATATAATTGATGAGGAAGGACTTGGGAATTGACAGAAAGCTAGAAATGAAATTAAAATGATTGAGTTCATAGAAAATAGACTCCTGTATGTATCGGTTCGGACTCACTTGATTATGTAAATACCTTTTTAAACTATTTACTTAAAAAGACATAGTAACAGTGCTGGAAGTGAAGTCTTGCACCTATTAAACCATTAAAAAAATCAACTTCTTGTGCAAGAAGCAAAAATTAAGTCTGTCAAAGTCATGACAGCTGAATTTTTACTGCAGAGACTGAAAACAAGGACAGACCTGTGACGGAGAACAAACTTGACATAAGCCCTCCTATTTAACTGGATTTCTAATATTTTCTTACCAGTAATTCAGTCAATTAAGTTCTTCTCCACATGTAAAGCACCCGTAACCAAGACACATGACAGACTGCAGAAGAAAAAACTCAAGAGGTAGGTAATGTGAAAATTCAAGTGGTTTGATCCCTCTTGTGGTCATGCATTATGATATAAATTTATTATAACTCCACATTACGGCAGACCGTTCTTTTTGGAAATTGGGCTTCTGCAATCAGGTAGGTGCTCAGTCCTTCCCTACCCACTCTCCTCTATATCCATTAGCATCAACCACGTGAGACGGCTGGCTCCAGGTCACATCGCTCCCCGGACATGTCTCAAGGCTGGCAGCAGCTACTGGCAACCCAGGGAGCAAGCAGGGATGTGAGCGGGATTGGTGAGGGGACAAGGAGGGAAGCAGCATGTAGGGAACATCGGAGCAAGGGGCTCCGGGGAGCGGAGATGCTGCAGTTCAGCCCAGGAGACGAAGCTTTGGGCAACACAGGAACTAACCTGTCTCGTCACGACTGGCACCGCTTTCACCCCTGGACGGGCGGCACCCGACGTGCGTGCAGACAGCGCGCTTTTATCCTCGGGGTTTATCCTGCCCTGTTCAAATCCTGCTTTGACAAGTTCACTGCTTCCCCCCCAGTTTTCTTTGGCATGCACAGTGAGCATTAAATAACTGACCTCCTCAAAAGCACCATGGGGTAGTCTCATGCCCACAGTACCAGATAAGGAAATTAAGCCACTGGAATTAATGCCTGAAGCGTGCCCAAATTTCACATTCCTGATTTGAGGGTGATTAGCACTAGCGCTAGCAGGATTTCCCGTGCTCAGAGGGCAGCCCGTGGGGAGCGCGAGCGCTTCTGCCGCTCCGTGTGTCTTGCGGGGGGCTGGAACAGGAGCCCCTGCGAAACACTGGGCTCTGGCACTCAGCCGACTTCAACCCTCTCTGCAAAGGGACTCAAATCCCGGCTTTCCCTCCAAGCTGGTGAAGGGGAGCAAAATACCAGAGCAACCAGCTGCTCTGCCTCGTCCTTCTTCCCCAGCCTAGGGCGCCGAGCTGGGCCAATTTCCACCCCTGCCCTGTATCCCTTCCTCCAGGTACATTTCTCCCTGTCCTTGCCTCCGATCTTCCCCTGGCTCCCAGCTCCCTGTTTCCCCTCCATTCTTCCTCTGTGGTTCTTCGCCTCCAGCCTTCTTGCCTATCAAGCCCCAGTTTTCCCTCACTTTTCTCAGGTCGCCCTGAGTCCTCCTCCAGTCCCTCCGCAGTTTCATCCTGTATTGCTTTTCTTCAAAGCGAATAGATTCCAAATCAAAGATTTCTTTAGCAAAATTCCAGGTCAGGCTCTATTGCAAGACAAGAA